GTCATAAAAGGCCATCAGGTTGGTCTGGCAGGACCTGCCTTTGATGAACTCATGTTGATTTCCCCTGGGCATGATCAATCTCCCCTGCTGGCCCCTCACAGATGTGCTCCTTGATAATTTTTCCAAGGATTTTCCCCAAGACCGATGTGAGGCTTATGGGCCTATAGTTTCCTGAGTCCTCCTTTCTCCCTTTCTTATACATAGGGACCACATTAGCTAGTTTCCAATCTCTGGGCACCTGGCTTGTGGACCACGATCGCTCATATAGCCAGGCCAAGGGCACAGCAATGACCCCCGCCAGCTCCCTCAACACCTGTGGGTGGAGGACATCAGGGCCCACAGATTTAAAAACATCCAGCCCTTCCAGAAGATCCCTAACTACTTTTGCGCAGTCCCGAGGCCTGGCAGTGCTATCCTCAATATTGCCCTTACCTGTGGTGGGAGAGCTGTCCTGTTCCCTGTCCAAGAAAACAGAGGCAAAGAACTTATTAAAGATTTCAGCTTTCTGGTCTGGCGTAGCCACAAGATTACCATTTGAGTCTAGCAGGGGCCCTACATTACCTGGTGCCCGCTTCTTGCTCCCAATGTATTTGAAGAAGGACTTTTTGTTGTCCTTAATCCTGGTCGCTAGCCTGAGCTCCACCCCCGCCTTGGCCTTTCTAATGGACCCTCCTATACTCACAGGCCAAGGAGGAGTATTCCAGGCAGGTAGCACTCAGGCCTTTGTAGCTGCCTATCTTGCCAAAGACGTGGAGTCGCTGCTGCACAACCCCTTGGCCTGCTAGGCAAGCCACAGCCAAATGTGGCTGGATCTGGCCATGGTTGCCCGCAAACACCTGTCCTGTCCACTGACCAGTGTTCCAAGTGAGAGGGTGTCCACCATTGCTTGGTATGTAGTGATCAGGGCTGTCCCGGGGGGGAATGACGACAAATAGGGACGAGCACCCCAGGCCCCACACTTTGTGGGGCCCCACATTGCTGGGCAGAGCAGCGGCGGCATGGAGCTGGGCAGAACAGTAGCTCCATGTCCAGCCACTTGGTATCAGCCCCGCCCCCACCGCCATTGCTGACAGCCACAGTAGCTTCTTCAGGTCCGGGATTGGAGCAGGGGCAGGGCCCCACGTGGGTTGATTTGCCCTGGGCCCCACACCCTGCTTGGGTCGCCTCTGGTAGTGATACCCCACTGCACCTGCTTGGATCCTGGTGTGGTAGAACAGCTGGCATTCCTCAAGATGAACCTCCCACTGCTGGGGTTCCCCAAACTCCAGGTGCTGATGGAGTGAATGCCACCCTCCTCACTCCGTCTGCAACCATTTCCCTTTTTAAAAAGCCAGGTAATGCCCCACTGTCAGAGCTGAAGGGGGCCACTCACTGCATCACAAGCCAGCAAGGGAAGAACATGTCCCTGCTGAGCTGCCGTGCCAGGATGAACTTAGAGGTATGAGCTGGGGCTATGAGGAAGGAGGAGGCCCCAAGTCCTGGGCATGACCACTAAAACTGCACTCTGCCAGGGTCAGGGAGGCCTGGTGGGACTGCTGACAGCGTGGCAGCCCCAGGAAGTGCCAGGACCAAGGATTCCCCTGGTGAAAAGCGGGTAGGAGGCATCATAACCTCCAGCTACCACACACATGCACATAGTCCTGGCTGGGGAAAGCCCAGACCCGTCATGTCTTTGACAGGCCTAAGGCTTGCTGGTTGTAGTGGAGTTGTGAGTCTCCAGGTGAGTTCAGCTTAGCTGCCTGGGATGCCAGCTTTTGGGTTGAAAAACCCTTTGTCAGGCTGAGGAAACACCTGCAGTTGGGATATGTGTGCGCGCGCGTGTGTGTGTGCGTGTGCGCACGCGCATGTGTGTGCGCACGCTGTTCCTGGATGGAAGGAATAGTAAAGAAGCCAGAGGCTGGCATGCAATGCAGGCAAGAAAGCCAGTCAGTGAACATGGAAATGAAGGCATCAGGGGGTGAGGAACAGTCTGGGGGTGGGGGGAGATGGAGCAGCACAGGTAAAAGTGCAGAGGTACTTGGGGAGTCAGATATCTGGCAGGTTATAGTGTGTCAGAAGTCCAATGTCTATATAGAGTCCATGATTTTCTGTACCTAGGAGGCTGATGAAGTGAAGTTCATAGGCCAAGCTGTGAAAAGTGGTTTATAAATTCTCTTTCAGGATCAGGCCTCAGAGACTAGAGGCACAGTGTTTTTTTGGTGAGGAATGTGCCCCCACAGCTAGTTGGGTATTCTTGTCTTTGATAGATTCTGGTGTGCAGTATGTGGGGGTACTGGAGACTGTTGGCAGCTTGTGTTTTGGGCTGTAGGAGGTTGGCTTCAGTTCTGGTGATGAGGTTAGGTTAGCAAGGTTTGATGCCTGTTTGAATTTACAAAACCACTTTTCACAGCTGGGCCTATGAACTTCACTGCATCTACCTCCTAGGTAGTAGGTACAGAAACTCAAGGACTCAATATAGACAGCAGAATTCTGACACACTACAGCCTAGCAGCCATCTTTATATTCCTTCCATCCAGGAACAGCACACACACAGACCAACTGCAGGAGCTTCCTCAGCCTGACAAAGGGTTTTTCAACCTGAAAGCTTGCTAAGATATATTTCTCCAACTATTCAGTTGGATTTTTTTTAATAATAAACATATAAACACAACATAACCCATCACACACCACAAGTAACACATTTATAGCTCCAAAACAACATCTCTATTTCTACCGCTCAATTCTTTTATAAAAATTCTCTTTTCATTAACCATAAGCCACATAGCCCCATTGGACAATCAAGGAAAACGCCTCTACATAAAATCAAAACACAACCGCTCCCTGTCCCAGCTTTCTCTAACTATTCAGTTGGTCTACTAAAAGATACCAGATAGATCCAAAGGACTTTGTCTGCCAGTGCCATGTCCTTAGATCAACACCCCTAGCGCCTGACTGGAAGGATGCAGGGCCCTGGGCACATCTAAGCCCCAGGGCTGGGGCTGGCAGGGAGAGTTCTCTGGCAACTACTGGAGAAAAAAGCTTCTGCAGGAAAGGAAAGAAAGGCTCTGTCACAGTTTGGCTGCCTGAGATGCTGCTGGTGCTACTTACTAAGTTATTACCTGTTGTCATTTAAAGTGGTAGACCAACTGAGGCACTAGGGGAGGAGGCAGCCTCATTGGGGCACACTACTGTGTCATGTAGAGACCCCTGTGCCAGTGAGGGCGCAGCTTCACACACACACACACACACACACACACACACACACACACGAGTGAGGGCACACCTTAACACACACGCAGCAGAAAAAGCTCCTGCAGGAGAGGAAAGAAAGGCTCTATCACAGTTTGGCTGCCCGAGATGCTGCTGGTACTACTGTGCTAGTGCTCACTACATTATTTTATTACCTATTGTCATTTAAAGTGGTGGACCAGACTGAGTCTGTAGGGGAGGAGGAGCCCTCATTGGGGCACACTACCATGTTGTGTAGAGGCCCCAGCGCTAGTGAGGGCGTGCCTTAACATACACAAAGTCACACATGTCACGAGTTTTGCTTGTCAGCAGCTTGAGGTGCAGTTTCCCAGAAACCCCTAAATCTATCTCCTTGAAACCTGGCAGGCATCATGTCCTCAGAAGGGGCTACTATCCCTGTAAGTTTCATCCAAATCAGGTAAGAAAGGACATTATAGGCAGTTTTGTGCTTCCCCATTATAGCCTATGGGCGAAACAGCAAAACAATTCTGATGAAATGAAACAAAACTTAAAACGAAATAGTTCTGTCGAAACATCAAAATGGAAGTTGAAATGGAATGGTGCCATTTCACGTAGCCCTAAAGACAGTAGCATGAATACAGGCTAGCCACCGTCCTCGCCACATCCACATCTCATCCATTTGCCAGGTCTTACCTTCATTAATTAAGGCTGAGACAGGTCCGTCTCAGCCTTAATCTGGCTGTTCAGCATCCAGCACGATAGGAAGGCCACTTTGCTATGGCCTTTCAGCACTACACAGAATTAACTGCCATTTTGATAGAAAACCCCCACCAGTCCCAGCTGGGCACCAAAGCCCTATACTGCCCATTATTCCACCCACCAGGCTCTAGGGCACCCACAACTTCTCTAACCAGGTCACTCCTTCCTCAGGATGTGAGCCTTGTGACATGCCAGAATCTCTCAGGTACGTCTGCACTGCAGTAGCAATGGATTTCAGACAGGACGCTACTGACTATGCCCTGCCCACCCACTCCCACAGGCATGCTACCAACCCTGAAAATATGCCGGTGAGGCTGCACTAGGATCATCCATGGTGGCTGCTCTCAAGCATACAAGGTCTCAAAAGCAACTACAGACACCCTCAAACAGCTTCACTGATGCGCTTCTGGGTCTACAGAGTGCCTGCTGGGGCAGATGGGCAATGCATCCTTGCAGCTATCTAGGCCCAGAAATGCTGCTGGCATGGTGCAGACCAGCCCTTAGTTTCCCTTAGGACAAGTCTGTGTGGATAGGGCCTGGTCCCTTCTCTGCCCAAAGTGTTACCTTGACATCCTGCTCGAGACTGTGTATGAGCTCCCCGTCCACCTGCCCAGTCTGTGCCACGCGCAGGCTCCGGCGCTCCGCTTTACGCAGCCGATACTGCAGGATGCGACAGGTCTTGCTGGCTTGGTCCAGCTGCTGCCGAAGCTCTTGCAGCTGGTAGACATCCTCCTCCATGTAGACATCTCTCATCTCCAGCATCTCTGCACGCAGTTCCTCAATTTCATCCTGATGGATAGAGAAATACATGTCATAGGATCACACACAAATCCCATGCCCCACTCCACTGCTGCTTGCTTGAGGTCACCAGCCTCAGCCTGCATAAAGGAAGGCCCAGAGAAGAAAACTCTTTCTTCCCTAGGAGTGCCCATGCCACAGGCTCTTAACAAGGCAATGACCTAAGCCAGTGGTTTTCATCCTGTGGTCTGGTAGATCCCTGGGGCCCACAGACTAGGTCTACAGGGCCCATAAAAGATGACTATGATCAATCAAAATATGGGAATATCCACATTTACCATTCAAGGGGTCTGCACCTCCATCCAAAATTTTTTTTAGAGGTCCGCAAATAAAAAAAGGTTGAAAACCACTGTCCTAGGCATGTTGGCAGGGCCCTATATATTCTGCTACACTGCGCATCCAGAGCTTCAACCCTTGTTGCTTTCTTTGCTGTCACTTGAAGGAAACAATTTCTAGCCCTCAATGTTGTGAAGGAAATTTTGGAAATATATATTGAGGGTGAACTGTTTCAGTGCCATTTGCACTAGTCTGCAGGCCCAAATTCATCTAGGTCCCAGGCCCCAGGTACTGGATTGCTGCTTCTCAGGCACTGATGGTTTTACTGCAACCTAAGGAGCATTGAAAAAAACAGCAGTGATGATTACAGCATTATCTACCATGGGAAGGGGAACTACACTTGACCTGCCAGTTCTTTGTACCAAAGTGAGGCTAGGTGAAGCTGACAGCTTAATGGAGAAATTCCCCATTCTGAAGGAAAGAAGAAACTAAATGGGAAATGCTGGGTCTCAGCATGTTAAGCAGCAGCACCTGGTGGCAACAGGGCCCCTGTGCCTGAGCTGAAGTGTATGCCAGCAAGCTCCTTTCGTTCAAACAGAGGCTGATGGAAAAGTGATGCCAATTCATTTGGTCATGTCTCCAACTAGCACCAAACCACAAACATTGGGGCTATTGTGACGCCAAGGCAGGATACAAAGTCCCTACAGTACCCAGAGGGGCAGTCTGCATCTTCAGGCAGAAGGAGCTCTTTGCCTTAGGTCCCAGCTGCTTCTCAGGGTTTATGAATGGCATCTCTGTGAGTAGCCCTAGAAGATGCAAAGTCTTCACCACTAGACTGGAAAAAAGCACAAAGCTATTGTGGAGAAATCTGCCCTGCCCCAGCAACTATACCCAGAAAGGGGCAAATCCCCTTCTATACAGCCCTGAGGGCTGTGCCAAATGACAACAGTGGGGAATGCGGCCTGAGGAATTGAACTACACAAGCCATAGTGCCTGAGGCAGTACTGAAACGGCAGCCCAGGACCAGGGAAAGTCCAGCAGAGACCAGAGTGCAACACATCATGTAGGCTGGTTGGTTTACTCAAGCAGGAGCAGTACAAATTGGATCCGAGGCCTTTGCTGCTCCCTCCAGAAAGAACAGGATCTTGCCCTCTGCTAGTACCTCCTGCCACTGGGCCTCTTCCTTTCAAGCCCATCTGCAGACAATGAAAGGTAAGGCAGAGTAGGCACCATAAAGAATGACTGGTTCAGAGAGACAGGCAACAGGTGAACAACACAGGGAGTAACAGCCATGCACCCTCACTCAGGTTCTTAGAGTAGGAGAAACAAGGCTACAGGGTTGGTATCCAAGCAGTATTTTTGTATCTTCCCTTTTGACTTTCATGTTTGAAATGTAGGCTGTACTTCTCTGATCTCAGAGAGCCAACCGAACTGGTAGGGCACACCACAGCCAGGGTGAAGGAAAGCTTCAGCATCTGACAAAGTAGACTGTTGCCTGAGAAAGTTCATGCCTGAACAAGTTAGTCTCTAAGGGCACTTACACACATGCAAGGAGCCTGTTCCAACGCACTGGAAATTCAGTACATCACAGCAGACTTGATTAATCTGCTGGAGCACATAAATTGACGCACTCTTGCAACCTCGCACATCATGTGCATCAGCGACACAGTATGACTCCATGCTGAGAAAATGACAGCACTGCACTTTGAACTAAAAAATATTCAATGCGCTTTAGTTTAAAGTGCACTCCTCCCATTTCCCTCCCATGTTCTCAGCACAGAGGCACACCGCACTGCTGATACATGTGCTCCTGATGCAGTGCCAGGAGCTTTTAATTAGCGTAGCTCACTAAATAAAAGCACCCAGCACTGCATCGTGAGCACATGTAAAAAATGTCCAACAGTTCCACAAATGCCCTATATCAGTGCTTCTCAAACTTTCGCAGCTCGACCCCTTTTATGATCCCATTTCCTCAGCACGGCCCTTAACTCCCAACCCATAGCCCCCCACAACCGCAGTGGGCAGGACCTGGTACAGGAGGAAGGGAGTGGGCAGGACCAGGTGTGGGAGGGAGGATGGGAGCACCATACTATCATGGCTGCCAAACAGGAGCCCCCTGCTCACTCAGCAGCAGTGTGGGCACAGCTCTGCACCACCATCATGGCCGTGCCTCACCTTGACAGCTGTGGTGGTGCAGCACTTCCACAATGGGTCCCACCTGCTGGGTTGCAGAGGCGGCTCCTGCCTGAAGCTGGTCCCGCCCAGCTGCACCCTGTACCCTGCAACCCCATCCACTGATGTTGCAACTCCATTTGGGGTCGCAACCCACAATTTGGGAAGTGCTGCCTTATGTTCTACCCAGCTAAAAGGAAGTGACTTCTATGCACATGCTTGGGAATGCTGTTTTCTATTTGTGATAGCATTTAATTCAAACCATCAAGAAAACACTAAGATAAAATCTTTTTTTGTTAAAGATTAATTTCCTCTAGAGGCCCCTTCCATTAAGGCCTGAGAAAGATCACCACTCACATGAAGGCTCCAAAGACTTCTCCAGCAGAAAACAGGACAGAGAAGACTGACTCCCCGGTTATTTCTACAGCAGAGTTTTTCAGCCTGTGGACTGTGACCCAAAAGTGGGTCACAAACAAACTTTACAAATGGCAGAGTTCCAGCCTGCAAGGGGCTGCTTGGGACTGGGGGGCAGTGAGAGGAAGGCTATCAGGAAGGGGGTGCCAAATGCATGTGGCAGCCAGGCATCATGGAGAGCATCTTCCACAGCTCCCCACAGATAAGTCTATAGGGCAGAGGGAAAGGCATGGACAACACTGCCCACTACCCCACCTCCTCTCCAGAGGGAAGCAGCAGCCAGGCCAGGAGGGTGGGGTACAGCCACAGCCTGGCACAAGCAGCTAACGGAGGGAAAAGACGAGAGCAGGGCAAGGCAGCCCTCACACCCCCCATTACTCCTTGCACTGCTGGCAGCATGGCTGGCACAGGGATCCTGACGGCAGTGACAGCAAAGAGTCTTGCTGCCCCTCTCCACCCTCCTGTGCTGAGTCCTGTCCACTGGGCCACAGAGGTGGCTCCTGCCCATGCCACTCCAGCCACACTGTAGCTTTGTGCCTGCACAAATCGGGGGGGGGGGCACATGTCCCTCCCATTTAAGCCCCCCACACACACCCACCCCCTGCCCCACACACTGGGTGGCTGGGGACTGGGGGAGGGGGGCAGTGGGGGTCAGGAGTGAGGGTTAGCAGCAGTGGTGAGGGCTGTGGGTTGGGAGTGAGGGGCACCAGTAGGGCCAGAGAGTTGTTTTCTACTTAAACTATTTACTGGGTTGGGACTGGCCAATTTTTACAAATGGGTCCTGGTAAAAAACGTGCTTGCGAACCTATACCCTAGAGTAACAAACAAACAAACCCAAAGAACCAACATCCTAGCCCTTCTTCATCTACCATGATGATACAGGTTTCCCTCAAGCCTCACAATCCCCCTCCTAATTATTAAGTATTAAAAAAAAAAAAAAAAAAGTGGCAGGGGGGAGAGCGTTAAGTATTAAAAAAAAAAAAAAAAAAGTGGCAGGTCAAGGTACAGGGGTATTACATGACTTGCCTGAGGCCACAGGGCAAGCCAGTGACAGAGGTGAAGTAGAACCCACATCTGCTCAGGACCAGAGCTATGCTTTTACTACTAACCAACCCATGTCAAAGATGGAAACATCACCAACTAGCTTCATGTTATGGAAATAAAGTGTATGGCTCTCAGGCCCTAGGTGCACCTCCAATGCACCTGTTCTATGGTCTATGCAAACTCCTTTATGACATGGAAGCATAACCTCTCACCACACCCTGGACTTAGCTCTCTTCTTCCCAAGACTGGCAATGAAGCATGGGAAGAATCAGAGCTTTGCAGGTTATCCCCTCCCCACAATTTACATTATTTATTTTCTCTATTTCCACAGGGGAAAAAAAATGGTCCACTCCCTCAAGTTTTAAACCACCCAACACTCTGGTCCCCTTCAGTGAACTGCTTAATAACTCTGACACAGCTAATGAGCCAAGGCTGATAACAGTCCAGTGTGTCATGCACACCAATGCCGAAGTAAGAAATGCTAGGGCTACTATACAGCCTGGAATGATCCACATGGCATCTTTACTAAGACAATAGGCTCTACCTCCACCGGTCAAAGTGGTACCCTTTGGCTTTGCCTTTAACCTTGCTAGCAATGTTATGTCACGTTCACATAGATCCCTCTCACTCCCAGAACAAAGGCTCATTCCAGTGCCCAGTTCCCACTGTAGTTCATGCTTTTCTGCAGCTCCTTGACAATGAGATAGAATTAATTTGCTTCACAGACCAAGGAGACAGTTCAGACTATACCTTCCCAAGGGCAGCTGTTACCTGCAGTGAGTATAAGAGATGAGTTATGAAAGTTACTTTTCCAGAGTCTTCATCGCATGTGAACATGGCCTAGAAAAGAAATGCAACACCTCCTCTCTGGTGCCTGTACTGGATGCGGTGCCATGCACTGCTCAGGACCCCAACCTTGCCTAGAAACCAGGATCTAGGACCATGTACTGCACAGCTGCTCACAATGGCAGCTTTGGGGCTGCCTCAGTTCATGCTGCACTGGGGAGTTGCTGTCTGTATGCAAACTCCCTGCACTGCTCCCTGCCATCCCCAGGTGCTGAAAGCTATTCACAGATCAGCACACA